TTTAAGTGTATTGTTATTTATTAGTTCATTTATATTTCAGCTTTTTTTCCTAATTATGCCAGTTTCAGTCCTCCATAATCTGCAACCTACAGCTCATTAAAATAAACAAATTGTGAATAAGTTTCTGTTTTTCTAGTAAGTAAAACATTTTTTTGATTCTGTTTGAATTAAGGATGAAATCCATTAAAACTCATCACGTTTCCTTTTTAAAAAATGTTTGTTTACAATGTTTTAGCTGATCTACATTATTCATGTTCTTTGAGGGTTAATGATCATTTATTTACCTTCAAACTGTTGCTTTCCAACTCAACTCAGGAAAAAAGTAATAAAACTCTGTGAGACCATTTATACACATTCATCTTTATTTGAAAAGTCATTAAATATGGGGGGGGGGGTACTACAGCAGTTCAAATATATTAATTTTAAATCAACAAACAAGATTTTCATAAAGATATACTTGATTTTTTTCATCTCTCCATACAAATATCCTCTAAAATGTCTTCAAAACTATAAATAACTAAAATAATTGTCATATATTTTCTCATTATCTTCAGTCAGGCTCTAAAACTGAACCGTAGGAGTTAAAAAAAAAGAAAAAATCCAAAAATCAGCTCTACACTGTCAAACTGTGACATTTTGTTTCAGTTTTTTTTTTCATAAAAACACACACACGTACAAAGTAGTCCATCAGAAATACACTGCCTGTGACTGCGTGGCTTTTTCTTACAGCAAACGTCCATGATGGGTCGGTGGAGCACGGAGAAGAACAACTGATTACATTTGTCCAGCTGGCAGAAGAAGTCACATTTCTCAGCAGTTTGTTGTGTAAATCGAGCAAAATGAGACAAAACTAGAAGAAGAAACTCGCAGAAATTCACTCAACTAGTTTTTGAGGATATTAAACATGTTTACAGTTTAACGTTCTGGAGAACAAATGCATGATGATGGTGGTTGGATGTGAAACATTTATTATTACTCACATCTGTCTGACTGCACTGAACGGCCTGATCTGGTCCGGACCTCCTTTATCTGCATTGATCTGGTGGTCTGAACAGAAGTCTGATCCCATCTTTACATCTGAGCCCAGAGGAGTGGACGAGTCAGAGCGATAAAACAAAATCAAAAACGTCTGTTTCAGCTTGATTAAAGAGAATAAACAGACATCTTTGGGAATGTTCTGAAGATACAGCTGGTCTTGTTTGTTTTAGTTTTTCCTTTCAGCTAAAAGTTTGAATAAAACGTCTCTAAACAAATGTCAACCCCTCCCATGGCCAAAACATTTTGGGGTAACTAACTACATAAATGAGCAGAGGTGCAGGTTTAACAGGTCTGAACAGTCCTTATGGTTTCATTCAGGAGCAGTTGGGATCATAAACACTAACCTTTAAAAAGTATTAGCTAAATTATCCCTTCTAACCAGCATGCTGATAAAAATTTAAATAGAATTGACAGCAGGATTTAAATGGGGGGTGTTATGTATTTTCCAGGCACATAGTTCAGTTCTAAACCACAATCAAGTAACCGTGTTATAGGGTTGGGCTAAATCGTATCGTGTGCAGTTAATTAAAAACTTTAATCAATTTTTTTTTGGCACTTGACGATTAATATGATTAATGCCACCGGACAGACTGACTGGAGATTTCCCCCGTTAGTCCACTCCTCTCCGCTTCATATATGATGAATATTTTTTACTTTTTGTCATTTATTTATCATAACTCCAGTTATGTTGGCCTCTCGACACAATTTAAAAACTGATGTATCACCTGAAGTCTGTACTTTTGACAATTGGAACAGATTTTTACGAGGAGCAAATCTTTCCCATTAGAGTGATTTAAACTGGTCATGTGAGCACGGCATGCAGGGGGACTCCAGGGGATTAATCATCATATTAACCGTTTTCAGCTAAAAAAACATATTTAATAGTAATTACCGTATTTTTCGGACTATAAGCCGCGACTTTTTTTCCTGAACTTTGAACCATGCA